TGGTGCCCCTGGGCCTCGCATGCGCCTTTGGGCCTGCGATCGGGGCTCGGGCCCATCGGGGGTGACGCCCCCTGCCAGTGTAGTCGGCCTCGCCGACGAGGTCGTGGATGCCCTGCAGGTCGTGCCCGGCCGCCGCCGAGAACCCAGCCCACAGCTCCTCCAGCTCGGCGTCGCTGTAGTTTGCGCCACTGTCGAGGGTCGGCCAGGCTGGAGGCTCCCGACGACAGCCCACAGGGAGGCGAGTCGGGAAGGCACGAGGCTTGACCAGTCTCCAGCCTAGCCGCTCCCGCAGAGGCCTCTCCGTCGTGATGGCGACGGGGCTGTGCGGGGCGGTGGACGCGTCGAGCACCTCCGCTGCACCGAAGGCTGACGCGATGCGCGTGTCCACCACGAAGTAGTCGATGACCCTCCCGCCGCCCTTGCCCTGGAAGGTGGGGGCGGCCGAGGAGAAGATGGTGCCCCCGACGTCGGCCACCCAGCCCGTGGCCATGAGCGTGTCGGGGGTGTTGTTGAAGTCGGCCTGGAGGACCCACGGGATGTCGCAGGCCCTCACCAGCTCGCCGATGGCGTCCAAGATGGACAGGTTGCGAACCGTCCAGCCCTCGGTGACCCAGAAGTAGGCGCTGAGGACCATGAGGCCGCCGCGAAGAAACCCAGGAGTCCAGGCCGCCACCAGCCTTCCTGGCGAGCCTGGCGGCGAGAAGTCGAAGGTGTCCACGCCCTCGAGGTAGGTGAGGCCCACGCAGCGCGGGGCGACGATCCCCACTCCTGCCACTCTGCCGCCACCAGGCCCCGCAGCCGCGGGAGCGAGGGCGACGGTGAGGTGCCTCTGGAAGCAGCTGGCACTGATCTCGCCGACGTAGTCGCTGGTGAGGTGGTGCTCCTGAACCAGCATGATGGTGTTCCTGCCCAGCGGCATCTCGTCCAAGTGGTCGACGAGAGTGCCCCAGGCGCTGCCGTTGAGGCCCCTGAGCACCATGCCAGGCTTGGCGTGGCGCCCCTTGCCCCGCGATCGGGTCTTCCGGAGGAGGATGGGGGGGAGCAGGAAGGGGAGGAGGAGGTGGAGGAGGAGCAGGAGGAGCAGGAGGAGGAGGAGGAGGGGCGGAGGAGGGGGAGGACGAGGAGGAGGAGGAGGAGGAAGAGGAGGA